GGGAATCTATTTAATTCTACTGTGATTGAAAATTTCCCTATGTTTTCTAAGAACAGATGTCCACTTCTCTGAAGAAGGCAACATGGTTCACTATCATCCTCGTTCACTACCATAACGATGTTCTTTATACATGGCTACAACACAAATGCTAATTGACACTTAAGAGTAGCATTGCTAAAGGGTGGAATTTAATGGAAGTGCTTCAGAAGATTTTTTTTTAAATTAATAAAGTATTTTATATTTGTTCTTTTTAAACTGAAACGATTTTTTATGAAATTCTGATGACAGTTCTGATGGCACTTTCTCCCGGATCATGCACCTTGAGCAAGCAGGCATGGCATTTTACAGTCACGCTGTGGAGTCACTGCTTGTGGGACATGCTTCATGGCATCTGTGACACCGTGCCCTTCACTCAGAAATGATGCAAAAGTGATCAAAGGGCAACTTTAACTCTAAATTGCTTTTGCTAATTTAAAAGTTTAGATGGAGGGGTAGTAGCAATGTTATCTGGTGGGCTGAAGTTTCTCCTATTGCTAAACTAAAATGTATTCCATTATCTAAACTAACAGGAATAATAAAGTTTGATTTTGCATTTCCACATCCTCCATCGTTTTCCTTTTTTCTGGTTGCAATTCCCCCCATGTCCACCCTGTCAAGTCCTCCTGGCTGTTATCCCTAAGCAGAGCACAGCCTGGGCTCAGGTGCTGCCAGAGTTGTGGATGGTGAATCCGGCAGTTTGGGGTTGTCCCTGCCTCTCTGCACCCCCGGCAGCAGCCTGGTGGGTTATGCAGCTGTGCACCACGAGGCATGAACCTGGCTCTGCTAGACAGAGGTGGGGGATTTCTTGGGTGCTACCTCTCCCCTCCATCCCTGGGTGGCCTCGGCCTGCCCAGCTTGTTCTTCATCCTAAGTGGACTGAGCCGGACAGCCTTTGGCTGGCTGAGGGGAGCCGGCATTGTGTCCCGGTCCCTGCAGGGATGCCTCTGTCTTGGCCGGCCGCAGTTTCCAAAGGGAGCCCACCAGACTCCAGAAGGTCACTGGAGCAGAACGTCAGCGTGGAGAAAACCCCTTTTTCACCACGGCAGGGACACATTTTTAATAAATTCAGTAAAAAAACCAAAAATGCGGCAGGGGTTGAAAATGACCCAGCTGAAATAGTATAATTGGATTTGGAGAGGGGAAGCCTGTTTCAAAAGAAAATTCCTAGGATGCTTGTTTTTAAAGTGGTAGCAGCAACCTCAAGAAAACAACAAAGCGTCTGCTAGAAAATGGAAGGGTAGTGCAAGATCTGACTTCAGGACTTACCCTAGTATGGCTCTGTTGCCCCGCAAATATTTCACGTCTGTGAAAGCAAAATCATCTTCATCACAACAAAATCAACGTCAATTGCTCAGACGTTTCTGAGCACAATTTGTCAGAGTACAACTCCCACTGAGGTAAAAAGGGCATATGTAAAACTGGACAGGAAGACAGCTTTCAGCCAACTAAGGCGGGGAGTATTTTTTGGGCAACTTTTTAATACGATTTTTGAGATGCTAGTAACTTAACCAAGTTGAAATGCTCCTTAAAGCAGGTTGTTTGTAATTGTGCTATGCAAATGAAGGAGCAGGACTCTGTTTATGCAGCAGTGCTATATGCTGGTTTCAACTGAGCCTGGGGAACTACTGTGCTAAACACACTAGAAAAAAAAAAAACTGGAATAAATTATAAATCTGAACAAACAAGATGGGCAAAAGAAGTATTACTAATAATGCTTTGTTATCAAAGAAAGAGACTGTGACAGAGCATGTCTTGCATCTAAATTGAAAAGCTTCCAGGAGACTGCATAGTTTTGTTCATAGAGAAATGGAGTGAGCAAAATCAGAGACAAATTAAGAGATGGCAAAGTGCTGAATGTCTCTATTACCCAAGCAATTTCCTCAGAGGGCCAAATTATTTCTAATCAAATCCTCTTTACAGTATCCATATTCTGTATGACAAAGCGACAGCTAAAAGGGATTCAGTGAATGCTTCTGCAGATCAGTGACTTTTTTACAAGTTGAAATAGTTGCTTTTGTATCAGTTGATTTGCTCTCAAATCACACACATTAAGTGTAGAGCTTTTTCGCTCTTAAGAATGTACATGAACAACACATAGAGGAAAAATTTTGTTGCTGTTTGACTGGATAAATGTCGAGAAAGACTTTGTTGTCCTCATGATATTTGCTCTTCTGAAGCCATCACGTGCAAGTCGACTGTATCTGACACAAACTGCACAAATTCATAAAGGACATGCAAATGAAAGAACTGCTGCATAACAATTTTCAGTCTGGACATGAATATATCCTGTGTTATATAGTATTTACTATTGCCAAGAGACAGCGATGAAAGAAAAAACAATAGATAGGTATATTGCAAATACAGACGTAATAAAAAAGAAAAGGCTGATAAAATCTCTGGATGCCAGCACTTCCAGTATATGGTTTATGTTCATTTTTTACTACACCCTCTTCCTGTTTGCCTGAGAGCTTATCTTTGATGAAAAACATAAACATTGTTTAAGGTCTGACTAATACCCACAAAAACAAGGACAGGCAGAGAAGGACATGAGAACTCCCATTTCTGTACATTCTCTGTTGTATGAATTGGGTAATATTGCTGAATGAAGCATTACACTTACATCTGAACAAATGATAATCTGCAGTTGCTCGAGATAGACATTTTTGCCTAGAATAGGATCACTTTTTACTTATTTAGGTAAAATTTATCACCGATTATAGATAAGCAAGCACTTCTTACTATGTTACTTGCAATGACTAATAATAAGTGTTTGATATCTCTAACCCTCTTTGGTCTGTATTTAGGCTGACACCTAAAGCAGGCTTTTTCCTTTCATTTAAGACCTGAGTGACATTTAAAATCAGGCATTTCAGCAAGCTCTTGTACTAAGGATTTCAATATTTACTTTCCATAAATGACCTCTTTAAAATTTTCTGTTTCTTTGCACTTCTCTGTAGGAAAAACAATTTGCTAATATCAAGCATTAAGGAAAATTTGCACAAGTGCAGGCAAAACAAATCTCTGTTTTGTTCAAACAAGACACTCCCTTCCTCAGTTTTCAACGTCCTTTCTTTGAAGGCCCATAAGCTATTAAATTTGATTTACGTCTTTCAAGTTGAATAAAGCAGAATTTCTCACTTACCACTTCCAAGTACACAACTCCAGGAGTAACCACATAGACATATACACCCCATCATCTCAAAATTTATACAAAAGCTTAGCTTCATCTATTGCATATTTGTCTTCAATGGATTTTCTTGTGTATAAAGGTAAATGGGTCCCAAAGCACTTAAAAGAACCAGAGGCCTGAGTTGCCACTAAGTTTGCAACAGTACTTCTTTCCTTCTTTGGAATTCTTTCTATCCTCCCCTGGTACACTGAATGTGTCTGAGCACACATTGTTCTCCATCGTCAAACACTGAACTGCAGAATCATACTGCAATGTGACTTTTCTGTTTGCAGCCCCTTTGATAGGTTTGTTATAGGACATTGTGGAAACACCAAGATACTTCACCAAGAATGAAAAAAGGGGTTTAAAATAGTTCTGCAGTCTGGTTAATTGGATCATTTATCACCGAAATCCATCTTTAGAGCATAGTTAGTATTTGCTTCACAGCTGATCATTGGTTATTTTATGGCGATGAATAAATTTATTAAAAAAGATTATTGGTCTATAATTTTACAGATTTCTGCATGCAACCAATTATGTAACTGGTAAGTTATTATTAATAAAACTTCTTTCCATAAATCAACCAGCCTGAAAAAATATTTCAGTCTAGCTTCTGCATTTTAACATTTCTAATGTTTTGTTTGGTGTTTTTTTTTTTTTTTACTCTGCATTTTTGCAACCTCTGTTTTTGATGGGGAAGGAAAAGCAGGACTCTGGCCACCTAAAACACATTTCCAAAGCTGTGGTAGCTAATCCCTTTAGAGAATAACCTAACTGGTCAAGGCACTCCTATAGCAAAGCAAAGACTTAGTATGCCAACTTCATGGTGCATCTAGCCCCATCAGTTCAAGGGGCAAGGGACCAGAGGTCATTGCTGAACCTTAACCTCTCTCACAATGGCATGCAGAACTGCCTGGCCAATTTCCTCTGGGTTTTATTTAGCAGGCATGTGGCCAGCATGGGAAGCAGCCTTTCCCACAGATGTTTAGTATAAAAGAAGCTATTTATCAGTGTGAGTTATACAGTCAGGCTGTGATCAGAATAGATCAGGTCTCTGTAACACAGCAGTTCCCATGTTCCCTGAAACAATAGGAAATTAAAACTAATTTGTGCCTGAAGACTGTTTTCTTGCATTATTCTCTTTTTAGAGGGCACTGATTGACACCCATTTCTCACCAGGATTGATGTTGCCTGGGAGAATGGGAAGGGTCACAGGGCAAGTGGTGGCACTGTCCAAGGTGACCATCTGAATGGACCTCGGGTGAACACCAGGGTTTTCTGACAGCCTCAGTCCTATCTCTGATAACCATTCCAGCAGATCCCTTTAATACAAACATTTTCCTTCCCCAAAAGCCTTCTAACATGGTGGTCTTCTTGCTTTCCTTTTTTAAAAAAACCCAACAAAACAAATATTAAGTCAGTCTAAGTTCCTTTCCCAAAACAGTTGGACTCTATCCTCTTACAGATTTGCCATTTGGTAGGAGAAGTACTAGTACGTTTGTTCCATGTGTAGCTCAGACTTAAGGTTATTCTGGGGCCACAAGGACCATGGGTAAATTTTCAGATCCATGGTAAAAAAAAAATCCATGGTAAATTGTCAGATTGGACACATTCTCCATCAGGCCTATGAATGTCTCTGAATATATGACTTCTCTCTAATGTAATGAAACAGATTGATGAGATACGATTTTGATTTGTATCTTTGCAGCACATTAGAAAACATTTGGATTTGGCCTGCTCTCTCAGTGATTTATATCTACCTTAGACAGACAATTTTCTTCCCTTGCCATACCTGTGTGAAGGCAGTGGTCTTCAACAACCCGCAAGAATTTACTAGCATCTTTGCGAACTGGAACCATCGCCTTGATTATTCTTCTATCCTTCACTCTAAAGCCACATGGGTCTTTTATAACCTCAAAGAGCAAGAGAGTTTCTCTTCTAAGTTTTGCCTAGCAACTGTGATAAATATAATCAAATTTACTTATTTACTGAACTGATTAGACTGAAAACATTGTTTTGAAATTTTTTGAAAACAATCCTTACAGCACTTACAATAGGAAAAAAAATAGGAAAAAATACATAACCTTTCTGGGGCAGGCAGCAGGGAGCTGACAAGAGTTTAAGCAGCACACAATTTTTGGGAATGTAACTGAGCCATCCTAAATCTGGGCACTTTCAGAGCCCAGATTTTAAATCTAGTCCTTGCAGAAGGATTTGAAAAATCGATGGGTTTATCCTTGTTTTTGTAAATTCTAGAGCTTTTCTTAAATTCTAGAGCTTTTCAAAGCCTCCAGTCTTTGGTTTGAGACAGAAAAAGTAAAACTCCCTGGATGAGAGCTACAGAAACCTCATTCTCTTTCCCCAGTCAAACAAGCTCCATCCTTTTTCTTCCCCAGGACTCACTAACCCAGCCCATGCTTGTGTTCCCCATGCTGAGGGTGGATGGTCCCAGGGCTGACATAGGGTTGTGAGACCCAAGAGAACCACTGGCTGCTCCAGCACTGGCTCTGCTGCTGCATCAGCCCTGAAAACTGCTGGATGCAATATTGCACTCAGCTCTGAACCTCCGAGCCCATGGAGATGGAGCATCAGAACATTTGCCAAGAAACCTTAATGAGTTTCAAATTAGCATAGTAGAAGAGAGATGCTTCAAAGGCTTATGCATTTAACCACATTTGGACAAAATCTCATGAGCAAAGCAGTTTTTCCACAGAGATACACATGGCTCTCCCTGTCCAGAAGTCAAGTTGCTGCTACAAAGCATGACGATCTTGTCCTGTCCCAGTAGAACACTTGTAAGAATTCAGGGACATGGGAAAAAGCATCATGCCACAATTATCTTGAGAACAGATGACTTTTTTTTTTGGCAGAAATGTTAAAAAAACACATCAGTAACTGTAAAATAAAACTGCAAGTATTCACCCTGTGAGACAGAGGCCTGGCATAAGAAATTTCAGACATTGAAAAATAATTTACCCCAGCAGAAGCAGGATTTTACAAGGGAAATTTTTGGCCAAATGTAACTATTGGCAGCATTGCCAGCTCTGCTTATAAGAAATAACGCGCCTATGCAAATCAGCCAGTTCTTGAAAATTTTCAAACCCCAAATGCTGTACCTCAGTCATATAGCCAAAAGGAAAGTTTATTACTTGAAGAGATGTTAGCCATATTTTGAGTAATGTCTTTTCAGGAAAGGCTTATAAAAGATTAAGAAAAAAGAGAACTCATTTGTCACAGTGTTACTAGAAGACACTTGGTAATGCCTCCAGCTGCTCTGCTACTACTCTTTTCTGCTCTCCCAGTTTCAACTGGAGGTTACATCTTTCTCAGGCAGGGTGAGGCCCCTTCGGGTCAGGACTGTTACCACATGTTGTCTGTCTCCTCAATTTCAGCACAGCTCTTTCATCAGACCTCTAAAGCAGTCATACAGATTTCCCTTGTGCTCAAGCCTCTCCTCAGCATGTGAGTACTGATGTCACTGCAACGTCACTTCACGAGGGACTGTGAAGAATGAAGGCTAGACTGTGCTTTGAGCCTTGTTGCATGCAGTCCCCTGCCATGCTCATATCCTTCATGGGTGGGGGTTTATGTTTTCCTCAGAGAGAACATGGCGAACATCTTAATGAAATCCCTTTGGCACATTGGGAAGTGAGATTAATAGTAATCTTTTTCTTCTTTGCTCTCCACTCCCTTTGTAGCATGTGTAATATACAGAAAAACACTGAATGTCTAGTTGTCTTTATCAAATGTCAGAGGATGCACAGGAGCTCGCCTTCAAGACACAAATCTGTGCGAAAATGGACTTTGGGGGGTTTGCTGTGCACTGCTATAGCTTGCTTGTTACTTGAGAAATGGGATCAGTGGTGCTGTAGGCTGCGTGCACACAGGACTGTGACCTTTATTTCAATGAAGCCTGGATACCAAAAATTCTGTGTTCAGTTATCACAGACCAAAAAAAAACAGTGGCCCAAGTAATAATTTGCACTGCAAGGCAGAACATTCCCACTTCTTTGGCAGCTTTCATACTGGCCCCTATTTCTCCCCTTTTGTAGTAATGAGGAGTTGCTAAAAACAAATTTCTTGGTCTGACCTGTCTTAAAATAAACTTTTACTGTCTTGCTTCTAGCAGACTCAGTGTAGCAGGCATCCTGTCTGTAATGTCCACAGTCTGGACTCTTCTCCATTTATGAATGTTGGAATAGTAGATCTCTCTTTTGACATTCACCCAAGTGTTTATTGCTCATGTCTGCATCTCTGACCTGATTAAAAAAGTTATCATAGGAAAAAAAGTGAAATAATAGGGGGGAAAAAGTCCATAAAGGGAGAGAGTAAAAAGAAAAAGAGGAATCAGCTAGTTTTTGACAGATAGAAAAATGCAGCAAACCTAAAATTCTCCTCAGATCCTGAAAGCAAAGAGAATAATTTGAGGAGGATATAGCTATATATTGCAAGGATAAAATAGAATGCATTTTAATATTTTTAAGCTATAGCTCATGTTTCACATTTAGTATTCTTACAATAGACAGACAAGTATTCTAGCATTAAATACATTTTCCCCAATATGCTCTTTTATATTTTACACACAATTTGAAACATCTGGTAAATGACTTGTTTTCAGGAAGCACAGCAGAGAGCATGCTTGGATGATCCACTGCTGTTTATGAAATGTTTCTCTCTGTGGAACACTTCCTTTCTTCCACTTCCTCTCCATTTTTGCTATTTGCTTATTCTGAAAATAATAACACTAATCTGAATGTACCATAACAGATTAGAGTATTGATTGTGCTGCAAGAATGAAATAATAATGTACAACAGATGCCATGTTTTACTACTGAAAGATCACAATGTTAATAAGATGGGATCTTTAGAAATAAGTATGGTTCCCTTGAGAGTGATGAATTGAGATGCCACACTGCTGTAGTACAAACCGTTATGCCATAGCTTATTTTAAATTTGTCATTTCTTTTAAGAGTGATTATTTTTTGACAGGCAACTTGGTATAGAGGTGTTGTCTGACTCTTATTATTTGGGAAATGTTGTTGAATGCCATTTATCTTTTAATATATGCCCTAGTCATCTTTCCCACTCACTTCCTAGGTGATACAGGAGATTTTTCAGTTTTCAGCTACATTTATAAGTAGCCCCTAAAATTGGGTTGACTTTCTGTTGCAGTAAAACACATAGCCTGTTATAGTACTGAGTAGCCTTCTAATGGCTACTGCTTTGAGGATACCAGCGTCAGCCTTGCCATAGTTGAGAAAAAACATAATCATAAACAAGATAGGTCTTCTAGCTAGCTCAGATGAAATACATTAGGCAGATGTTATCTTCTCTTTGACTATAGAAACACCATAAGAGATACCAGAATAAACACATCTCTGCAATGTCTTTATATATATAGGAAAGTGTTACGTTGAGACTTCATTCCACTTCCTAAGCCTTACAAGCCCCATACCTGTTTCTTAAACCATTTTAGTCCTGAAATTGGTTGCATTTTTAGCAATAGATTTATAGCAGTCAGTATGCTCAAAGATGCTGCATTCAAGTACAGCAAAATAATACTGACCTTATACAAGCCTGTATTCCACTGAGCCAAATTAATCTGTTTAGTTGTTTTAGTGCCATCTGCATGCTAGCATACACATTTTTTGTCTAGAACAAATTAAGAATGAGGTGAGCAGAAATTATCAGCCACTTCAAGCCCAGTCTTGCGATCCATCCAAGAATGGCACTCTCTTGAGATGAATAATTTGTAGCAGTGGGTTATGAGTCCAGTGAGTGCATGATTTGAACATGTAGATTTCTGGACTGAAAATTATTTCTTTTCCTTGTATCTGTGTGAGATTATTTCCAGGGTTAACTAACAGTGAAGGCTTTTACTCCCCCAGTCATTTAAGAAGATATTTTAATTATTCATTTTGTACATGACATCCTTAGCTGGCTCAAGAACTAGACATGAAATGCAGACCTTTCCCTCTAATGCAGACAAACCTTTCTCCCTAATGCAGGTGGATATTGCATTAAAACCAAAGCACTTTTTCACATGATAATGATTTTAGGAAGTCTGGGATAAGGGAGAGCTTATAAATAGATATGGCCCCTTAGAAAACTTATCTTTTAAAAACAAAAGCCCAAACCATTAATTACCATGAAATTCACCTAGGCTGAGTAATGACCACAACTATTCTCACATTAGATCACAAAATATATGTTCAGAAGTAGAGCTGGACATGAGAAGTGATGAGGTTATGGAAAGGTAATGGGAAAAGGTTCAAGGTATCTCTCCCTCTACAGACCACAAAAATTAAAGAAAAATGTAATCACAGAACTGGAGTATGTTTCCTCTGATAAAAAAGAAATGTAATCTGCGGAAACTCATCAGATTTTCTGACTGGCAACTATTATCTTCAAAAGCATAAAGAAAAGAGCACTTAATATATAATTGCTATGAAATTTATTTTGTAAATGATAAGTTATTCTCTCATTGAAGTCTACAATAGGCCTACCTTCTCAGTGTAAATTTGAGAGTCTAGAGGAGTTTCAATTACTCCAAATCTTATCAGATGTTCTGCAAAAGCAAAGAAGTAATCTAACAGCTCTAGCTGTTAGCAAAATGGGCAAAGGAAGGAAAGGAAGTGAGAACATCCACAAGGACATCTGACCTCCAGAGTCCAACGTCCCCTATCCCTTCTTTACACCAGTCAGCACACTGTGGTCAGTGAGAAATGAAGGTCAGCAATGAACAGAAACAAACAGAAGGAAGCACAAAATAACAATTCCAAGCTGTATAAGAGATGTGAAGGGAGAATGCCATATTCTTCATATTTCTCTTCAATAAATGAAAATGATACTCTTGACT